TCCCACTTAGCATTTCAGAACAGCATGTTCCTGCTCTGAATTGAGTGTTTTGCCCCTGTCTCTCTCCCAGGAGACATAATAGCAATCGTGAACCATGTTTGACTGGCGATAGAGCAGGATCCCCATCAAGTAGATGTGTGTGTGTCATATTGCCAGGATGGCTAGACAGGTAACCCCCACTGCAATTAAGCCTGTGGAATGGTTTCTGTGTCCCCATAAAAGACCTTCACTTTTCACAGTTTCTGTCATATGGTACATAGGAAAAGATAGATAGAATACACGTACGGTTTGTGAGAGCGTTTGCAGCTTGTCTGTGACTTTCACGCCAGTGTGGTCACCATAGATCGTGAGAGCTCCGCTTGCTTGCAGGGTAGGAGTCTGGGGATGGGGGCACATTTGTTCCTCTAGTGTTCAGAGGTCTCTTCACATTGTCCTAGTCCCTCTTGTGCCTTCTCTCCAGCCATTGCAGTCACTAAGCTGTTTAAATGCACTTGTTCCCTTGGTGACCAAAGGAGAGTGAATGTGGCCTCTCGGCAGCAGTCATCTGGCCTGACTGGGCAGCCGTGGGCATGGATCTCAGCAGAGTCTCTGTCTGAAGTTGGAGAGGGGCGAAGGCCTCCTGGCTGCTTTGGTAAACATTGTTTAGTTGGCTGGATTAGGATCCCATAGAAGTGGCACAGCTGTGTTCTGTGTCTCCTCAGCCTCCTGGATGGCTCACTCTGAGTGGCGGGGAGGGGGAGCATTGCACCATCCAGGTGGACATGGCGTCGCATTCTTTGGAGCCAGAACTGCCGGTGGAGACTACCAGAGTCCTTCCTGGTGCAAAATTGGGTTTCCTATGGATTGCTGCGTGCATATAAATAAACCTGTTAGAAGATTAGGACATCTGGAGCCTTCCAGTGTGGACATTCTATGTGACACACTCTTCCAACTTGTCAAATTCCTTTGTGTCTCAGAGTTCTGAGGGTGCCTATCTTGGGATGCACTTGGGATAGGGTACTGTCAATTCTTAAGAGGGTTTATTCATTGTTTACTTATGTGTATGTGTGCATGAGTTTGTGTGCAGGCACCCTCAGTGGACAGAGGGCATTGGAGCCCCTGTGACTGGACTTCAGAGCAATTATGAGCCATCTGATGAGGGTGCAGAGAACCCAGGTCCACAAGAAGACCACTAAGGGCTCTTAACCACTGAGCCGTCTTTGCAGCCCCAATACCATCGTTTTTTACCCCCGTTACCTTGACTGCCAGGAAACATGACTTTGAAGTGTGGTTATGTTGTCACAGATGTCACCCCTCAGTCTCACAGTGTCTCCTCCTTGCTGTGATTTTACATCTCCATCAACCTTTAATTTTATTGTGATGTGGTTGTCACTCTGAGCCCCCCCCCCCAGTCTGCTCTCTGTGTGGTGTTATGCTGAGCGTGGGCTCTAAAGTAGAGATTGGCATTTGAACCCTATTCCAGCAGAAGTCTGAGCTGAGTTGCTGCAGTTACTCAGAGGCTCTCTATTCCCACTGCACAAACCCACTCTGAAACCTCCTTTGAGCTGAAAGGGAGGTGACCTTGAGCAATGAGAGGTCCCTCTTAGAGGCAATGCTGTGTTGACTCTGGAGTTAACCCTGAACTTCTGTCCTGTCTCTGGCGTGCTAGTAATCATTACTCTCCTTTCTGGGAGCTTGAATATGTGGTCCTCAGTGACATGTGCCTTCTAGGAAGGCATGGGATCCAGGGTATCTGCCCTGGCCCTGCCACTTCTTGTCCTGCTACTTCCAGCCAGTTTTAGCTTGAGGAGAGCCACCCTGGCCCCATGGGGTTGTTTCGAAGGCTTGAAGGCCTGCCATTTCATTTAGCACTGGCAATGGGTGATTCTTCTGTCCCCAAGCCCCTCTTAGCACCTTAGAGCCTGCTTGTCTCTGAAGCCTTTTAAGTAACCCCTTCACCCACCTGCATCCGCGTGACTGATCTCCCAGGCATCTTTGTGACTTAGTCTGAAACAGTTGCTAAGCTTTCATCTTGAGAAGTGTTTCTCTTTAAGTGTTCCATTTTAAGGGCGAAGGGCTGAGAATGATCGTTCAGTAGGCTGAAAGGTTTGCCACAGACAGGGTGCTGTAAAGAACAGGAGTTAATTCCGCCTCAGTTCTGGGGCCCACAAGTCCAGCATCAGTCTCAGCAGCGCCGGGAGTCTCTGACCTGTTCCCACTCTGTCCTCCATGTCGTCGCATACTGTCTCGTCTCTGTAGTCACACCTTGCCCACCCCCCACCAGTGAGCTCGTCTTCATCACCTTGCTGAAGGCCCTGTCTCCACAGGCAGCCACTTTCTGAGGTACTGGGGCCAGGACTGCAGGCTAAGAAGTTGGGGAACACTGTGGCCCATATAGAGGGGTTGCCAGGAGGGAGGCAGGCCTTCCTTCCTTATTGTACTTTGTTTTCTGTTTCAAGTGGTTGTAATCAGGAAAAGCACCCTGTTTTCTACCGGGTGGCACAGGCGTGGTCCTGGGCTGTATGCCCTTGGTACACAGATGCCCTTGGGAGTGCCCGAGTGTGAGTCACTGATGCAGACCCGCTGGGCACAGGCCTGAAGGTGAACTCTGCGAAGAGCTGCAGCCGAGGGAGACAGATCTGATGCCCTTAGTCCTTTGCTTGTTCTCTTGTCTTTCTAGTTCTGCCCAAGTTGTGAGGGGCCTTGCAGCATGTGGGTGACTTCTCCCCTGTACACTGACATTTGTCTAAGGACCCCCTCCATCCCCCACCCCCACTGCAAATGACGGTTACTTTCAGGCCTGCCTTGAACATGTCCCGGCCAGGCTCCCTCCTGTGGGTGTGGGTGGCGGGAAGGAGCGCGGAGACGAGTCGGTTTGCATGATCCTTTCAACTCTCCTGACCCTTAAACCAGATGAAAACTGAAGCGCAGGCTCAGCCTTGGGTCCCCATGTGTGTGTCACAAGGAGCTCCTTCTGGGGAGTCCTTTTCCTAAGCATTAAGTCCTGGCTTCTTGTCCTCATACTGCTTCGGCTCTCAAATCTGCCGTGCGTCAGCTCCGCCGGGCTCAAGCGGAGGCACACCTGCTGAAGCTGGTGTCAGTCAGCGCCCCCCATCTGGCAGCTGTTTTCTGTTGTGTGGGCCACATGTGCCGGGCCAGAGGAGCAGCTCCAGCCACCGTGCCAGCTGTCGGGGGATTTCTGGACTGGCATGGTGCTCTGACTCAGTACTAATGGCTTCCTCCGTTGAATGTTGTCCAAAAGCAATTGTTCACTTGCTAAAGGCACGTGCCGCGCTGTCACACCACGGGCCCGAGAGGGCGGCACACCACCGCCACCCCTGGCGACCGGGTCTTCCTTTGCCAAAATTTCCTGCATTCCCATGTCAGTGCCACCTGTCTTGATTTTCTGTGTCCGTTGTGCATGTCTTCTCGTTAGCCTGGACCACAGCCACCACAGGCCACCTGTCATCCTCACGTGGTGAGCCAGTCGGTGCCTCCCCAGATGCTACCAGGACAAGAATTTGAAGCTTGCCAAGTGTAAGCAGTTGAGGCCCATCCCTTGGGCAAGCCATTCTTGGCGTGTTGACTGTAGATACCCAGTCATCCTGTGTCTGGTTCCGCGGAGGGCCTCAATGACAGCAGGCCCGTTTGAGTCTTCCCACCTTGGACCGATGGCTTAGTCAGTCGGAGAGCCTGCTCTCTCTGTTTTAGTGAGTTGTGGTTCTATTTTTGAATCAGTCTCTTTCAGCCCCGTTACTATTCGTCCGCACCAGAGTACCTTCCCAAGCTGAGTTATTCTCACACCAAAGGAGCAAAGTAATTTTGAAAGTTAAATCAAAACAAAGCAATCTTGTGTGTAGAGCTGATAAAATCGCAGCCTGTGGTCACGGGAGCTCCTCCACAGGAATCGCTGACATAAAGCCGATTTCCTCCCATCTTGTTATGGAAAGAAAAGGGGAAATGCCCTGGCCCCTTGAGCTTGAGAGCTATGTAAACAGAGGGGAGAGGGGAGCTCCCCTCTGCAGCTGGTGTCTGCTGGGATCTTTGGAGTCTGAGAGGGGACAGACTGGCCCGGTGTGATTCATGGTCATTCCCAGACAGTCTTTAGGAGCACTTCCCACCCTAGTGAAGGGGGGGCGGGAGGGGGGTACTGTGGCGGCCACGCAGCCAGGTCCTGTTTGTGGGTTAGTCGTTAAGGATACCAGTGGGGCCTGCTTCAGACTTGAATTTGAACCAGGTTGTGGCCCGTGGCACTGAGGCAAATGTCTTCCCTTGCCTTTTGTTCTCCAATGAGATGAGTTAGATCCCCCTGTGGACACTCTGGAAGGGCGAAAGGGACTCGGAATTCTTCACATCAGTCCCAGGCTTCAGAGAGTCACAGACTTACGTATGTCACAATCGACCAGGCTTTGCTCTTAATTGCCCTTTCCTTCCCAGGCCTGGTGTGGGATGGCGAGGTTGACTCAGCAGCCCCTTGTCTGCGACAGTGGCAGCCCCTCGGGTCACTGTTTATGCTTCAGTGCAGCCAAAGGCCATCACTATTCCACTTTATTTAGCTTCTTAGAGCAAATTACCCCCCAAATCACTGCTTTCTCAAGCCAATTACAGCTACCGGAGTCCGCCTCCGAGGGAGTCTGAGCATGTCTGACTGCCAGTGACTGTGGCTGGTAGTAAGGGACCCACGTTCACCCTTTGTTTTCCTCTGCCCCTCCCCCGCCCTTGGCCACTTCTCCAGAGACACCAACACCAGAGAGCTGGCGTGGCTCTTGTTCAGCCCCCACGTGAAGGTTTGTAGTTCCGGGATGCCTTTGGAGTATTTTGATGGTCTTCTATCTGCTGTATTTTCCCAGTGATGGACAACTCATTTGGTATGCTTGTACTCTGTGAGGTCACATTGTCCCCTTGGCGGGACAGATGGAATGGAGTTCCCCTGCCGCTCAGGTGGGATGTTTGTCTTGCTTTAAATGTGCACTCTTCAGATTGCTAGGGAGTAACCAAGAACTCCGCTTGTGTTTTTGCAGGTAAATAACTACCCAGAGGCTGAAGAGCACCCTCACCACCCTCAAATGGTTATCTTACAACTGTTACGATTCATCCTCCGTCTAGTATGGAGAAGACATTGACAGGATCTTCCCGCCGCCAGGATAAAAACGTGGACATTGCTCTTGTTCAGACCGCCAGAACCCCAGCACTTTGGTGCAGCCGCAGCCGGTGGCTCTATCCCAGAGAGGTGCTGCGAGTGGACGACACACTGCCCTGTGTCGATGTGAACGTCACCCTTCTGTGCGCCACCACATGGCAGGATTTCCAGTAGATGTTTGTGTGAATGTAAACAGGGAGGGTTCTTCTAGTGTCCAGAGCCTAGGTCTTTGGAGGAGAGTCACCATGCGGGGAAGGTGTTTACATGCGGTGTGTTCCTTTGTTTTTCCAACCTACTTTCTTTGGTAACCATTTGGTTGTTTTTTTGTTCGTTTGTTTTTTGTTTGGGGGTTTTTCTGGTTTTTTTTTTTTTTTAGAAAAAAAACATGAAAACTTTTTAGCCAACTTGTGGATGATTTTTATACTGAAATTCTAAGGAACCTGTTGCCTACTCTCAGTGGATTCTGTAAACCTGCAGTAGGAACTGAGCCGGCCAGTTTAGAAGGCTGTCTTAGTTTATTTTTGGAGATTACTGTACAGACTTTTTAAACGGGGAGAGTATGGTGTTTCCCCTCTCCCCTCTGCCATGACTTCTTTGAGTTTCTTTTTTAATTGTCGCTACCAAAACAGTTCTTACGAAATGGTAAGGATGAGAGTGGCCAAGGGTCAGTTTTGGTGTGCCACCTCCATTTTGTAAATACCTCCTTAGCTCAGTTGCTTCTGTGGCAAAATTTCACACTTTCTGTGTTTTTCCTCATCTCCTTGTCCTCCTCAGTCTGTCTCCACACTGATACACAGGTTCAGCCCAGGGTGTTCTCATGACGCAATGGGTTTGGGTCAGCAAGGGCTAGGGGCTGCCCGGATTGTTCCCAGCTCCATCAATCAAGCTGACTCGTGGGAAGGGCTCTTGTTACTTCACTTCTTGGGAGTGGGTTTGTTTGTCTCTTACATCTTGAGAGAATGCAGACTTGCAACACTTGCTGAGGCTGTTAGCCCTTTTGGTTGCAGGTTTTGCTGCCGTCATAGGCTCTGCCTTCCATGTACCTGGTGGGCGAGAGCCCACACTTTTGGGGATTGGCCAGGTCCTTTAGGGAGCAAGGGGCTCAGGTAATCATTTTCCATGCTACTTGGCACTTAGCCCTGCTCATCCAGGCCTATGACACCTGAACTCCACCCCCATTCCTTTAACCTACCTTGAAATAAAGACTGGCTCTTCCTCACCAGTCACTGTATATAGGAAACCTCCGTTACACCGGGTGAGACGTGCTTTTTGGTCTTCCAAAAGATGACTGACTACTTTCTTCTCCATTTTCTTAACAGTTGGATCTTGTTGGGCCGTCTGTGTCTGGGGTGGGGGGTGCTCTCTCTTGGTACCTGCCCCTTAGGATCATGTGCCCCAGAAGGCCACACATTGGTCAGCCATTTCAGGAGCTGGCAGGACTGGAGGTGTGCACCCTGGGGAAGGAGCACTTCCCTACCATGTGTAAAGGCCCTGGCTTCCATCCCCAGCACCTCCCAAAACAAACAGCACAGATAACCAGGGAAGACACAGAAAGGACAGAGGGAAAACCATCAGAGGGGCGGGCAGGGGACTGGGAGCCCTCTAACTTATGAAAGCATCCGTCAGCAGGCAGCTTGCTTAGAGAAGTGTGTGTGTTTCCAAGCAAGTCAGCAGTACCAACGACTGTGTTTGCTTTTTGCCCTGTATAGGGCCAGTGTTTTTATGTTATTAAGTAGAGAAATCCATTCTTTCCTATGTTCCTAAGTGTGTGTGTGTGTGTGTGTGTGTGTGTGTGTGTGTTGCCTATATGCTTTTCCTTCTAGATTGGGATCATTTGATTCCAAATAGTCTTTCTTTTAAAACCATTTCTTTCCCAGATTCCTTAGATTTTTAATAGTTTGAAAGCTGTGTTGGCGCTCCTCATGTGTTGAGCCTAGTCAAGGGTTCCTATAAGGTTCTTATAAGGTGGTATTAAGAGTGCAACCATAGTTCTTCTAAACACCCATGCACACGCACGCGTGCACACACACACCAAAGACATACTTGGTTCTGGGCCGCTTGTCTCCTAGGACTGCCATGCTCATGTGCCAGTCTCTCCGGCTGGAGCACTTTACTGTCTCAACCCCGTGACTCTGTGGTACCTCCTGGGCAGGTGCAGAAGGCTCCCAGAGCCAGGTGCCAGTGGCATGTGTGGCCCTTCAAGCATGCTTACCTCTGTCCCATTGGCCTCCAGCCTGGGGCTGGCCATCCAAGCAGCGCATGGGGAAATAAAGGATTCTATGACTTGTAGAAGTATTCGAGAACAGGATGCGGCACCCGGAACTCAGACATGACTGGATGTCCCTGTACTGTATCTGTTTATTAAAATGCAAGTAAGAAAGTATGTCTGCCTGCTGTAGGTAGACCCTTGTACTTAATTTTTATTTTATTATTATTATCTGTCATTCTCACTTTTTTTAGTAGAACTAGATCCCCCCTCCTCTGTCTCTGTCTCTGTGTGTGTGTGTGTGTGTGTGTGTGTGAATACATAATGCGGGTTTGTGCCTTGACAGCCTCCCCAAGTGAGGTTTGTAAAAGAGTGAAGTCCTGTGGCTTCACCCCAAGATGCAATAAACACACAAAATGACTTCCTGAGTAATTTTTCAGATTTCCTTCCCAAAAACAAGTTGATGAATTTGGGGGTGGGGGACGGGGAGGCTGGAAATCATTTTTAAATCTCTTTCATTCACGTCTGTAGTGCATACTGTACACATCCTCTCCTGTCTCTCACGGCTGTAGTGCATACTGTACACATCCTCTCCTGTCTCTCACGGCTGTAGTGCATACTGTACACATCCTCTCCTGTCTCTCACTGTTGTACATATTTTGACTATTTATTAGATTAGGAAGTCGTGTTTTATTCATCAACTGAGCCAAATGTCTGTGTGCAATTGTGTTTCCTTTACCTTTCTTTGTAAAATTTTGTACGGCATAAATGAGTGTAAAAAAAAATCACTGTTTTTCTAAACTTCTCAGAATTAAGGATTGTAAATATTGCAGGTTCTTTTTCTGTGTAATGTGCCCTACTGTTTCATAATGCTGTAACTTGTAAAAACGTTGTATATTTATTTTCTGCTTATTTAATGTCTTAAGTCCTTGAAAGTGTTGACATCCCTGTCCCCCACACCCCTGCCGTCCCGTCAATTGCTTCAGCTCCTGAGTGGGGGGTGACTGGGTCCGCTCTCCCAAGGTGGCCTCCATTTTGGCTCCTGGCATTCAGTTCTTGAATCCTGCCACCTTTCTGATGAAATTAGTATTTTGCTGCCCATGAGAATCCCTAGATGTGGTAGGCTGGAAGATTGGACTCTTAAAAAAAAAAATACCCATTAAACCCATTTGTTGTAAAGTAAACTGGTTTTTGAGAAAAACAGACTTGCCAGTAAGTTGGCCATATCTTTAGAGAAGTATTATTAGCAAATGGGAAAGACTTTTTTTTTTTTAATCGAAAGAGTATCTTCGACAGCTCAGTGTTGAGAGAAATCCAATTCTGCCACCTCTTGAGGTGCTGCTGTGTGGCTGTCCTGGATAGGGACCTGTTCTAGAGAATTTGCCAAGACCACCCGTCTCCCCAGGACTCTTACTGTCCCCACCTGCTGTGTGGTTCCTGTGTTGAGGTGTGTGGACTGAAATGAGCTAACCCATTCAGCTCCTTCCTCCTGGCCACTGCATTACTCCAGCCAGCTTCTGCAGGTCCATGCCCTTGCTCCAGCTCCCCGTTTCCCTCAAGAAGTCGGGGTCCCCACTGGCCTGTGTGTCAAGATAGAAGTGCTCACTGAAGCCCGAGGGGGCATGTGACTTCATGTAGATGGCTCTGTCCTCCCTGCTGATTTAGCCTGGTGCCTGTGTGTGTCCGCTCAGCACAGCATGTGTGCAGGTTGTGTCCACACGTGTCGCTAAATCAGGGGGGAACCCTTCCCAAACAGCCTTGCACAAAGTACCTTCAAGCTCCCAGCCAAGTACTTGACTGCTTTTATTTGGGAATTTCAAAAATGTAATAGTTCAAATAGGTTTTGATGTCTCTGTTCTTTGACCTCTGGTTACTGTATGCAAACCTTTCAGGTACCCTTTACTAAATAGCACTGATGTCTGTGTATAGTGCCCCATCACTAATGCGTCCAAGGACCCAGCGTATGTAGCATTTGTATTGCAGTTTCCCTGGCTTCCTTTATGTTTTGCACTGATGAATTTTGACAGGGTAATTGCCACTGTACTTGTGCAATACTGCTGTAAATAACTGCAGATTTTTTTAAGAAACTCAATCTTTTATGTTCCTGATGAATTTTATATAAATAAAACTTGCAACTAGCTTCCGTGAACCGCTTGATTTGTTTTCCTAAAGACGGCCAACAACTGAGGGTAAGTGTAGTCATACACACCTGCCCCCTGTCAGTCAGAACACGTTAGCTGTGTGGAGATTTTGTAGCTTGGTGCTTGAAAACGAGTCTGTGTGGTATAGTTAAAGCAAACTGGGTCGTGCAGTTTTGAAGTGGATGGCGGAACCTCCTGCCCACGGAGTCAGCCATGACTCGGTACTTGGGAGGAAGAGGTAGATCAGGAGCGGACTGTTCTCTGGTCACCCCACAGAACTGCTAATCTCTGGGATCTTGGGGTGTCCACTAAATTAGGAAGAGCGAGAGACACTGAAGCCATGTTGGAGGGCTACAAGTTGTAAGGTCCGTGTGAACGAATTCAGACTTTGCCTATTTGGTTCTGAAGTTGCTGCTGAACCATTTAAGCCAGGGATCCGTTCATGCTGCTAGTTAAACAACACACATGTGGGGCTTTGTAAAATCCATCAACCTGTGGCAAAGCAGATTGTCAGGGACGCTGCCCTCGATCCTCATCCAGGTAGGAGCTTGCATTTTTCCAGAGCCCCCCCTTTTTTTCCTGCTCTGTGGGTGTGGGCTTGTGTACTTACCTGGGCATTTTGCATAAATGCCAGTAACTACATCCATTACCCAGTAATAGGTCGTAGACCTTTCTAGAGTGATTCCATTTCACCCTGACCACTGCACTGGATACGGAGAGCAGTGCTCCAGGGCCTGGCTCCCTGCTCACCCTTGGCCGCTCAGTGACGTGCCAGTACCTGCCTGGTGTGTGAGGAGACAATGGCCTTCCTGGTTTAAATTAGACTTTGCTGTTCACAGCTCTGATGGCACCAGGCCCTGTTGGCATTGCCCTTTTGTCTGAAGGGAGCGGTCTTATTTTTAGTCATTTGTTTCGTTTTCCTTTCAACAATCACCTTGTTATGCATAATCCTTCAGTCCATTGCTTCTTTTCTCTCTTCGTCTTACTGTGAGAAACCTCAAGTGCGTAGGAAAGGCCACAGGATTTGACCATGCCCGCATAATGTGGCTGCTGTTATGGAACTCAGAACATTTTGCTGTGGTTGTATGAGCACTACATCTGTCTAACCTGAAGTGACGCGACGCATCCTAACCCTCACCCAGCATCCGGTTTCTCGACTCTTCTGTCTTCCGTTTTTTTTTCCGTTCGCCTTAGTTACTATGTTTTCAGTGCTCTTGCCCACTCTCCACATTCTGTTCCGTGTGCATCTCCAGAAGCTCTTTGGGGCGGGGACAGGAGGCGGGGGTCTCACTCCGAACTAATGATTCTACAGTAACTTAAGGGCAAGTAGCCACTCGGACATGCTTTCCAAGGTGTGTGGCTTTTATCCGCAATTCCTTAGAAGTGGTTTCCTACCCAGTGTCTAAACCTGGAATCCTGTAACCGAATATGAGGGTCACAAAATTTGGCCACAGTGGAAGGTTTCTGAATGCTCAACAATCAGAAACCAATTCAAAGTGAATGAGATGGGGATGTCCTGGCCCTGCTCAGCTACATGGGACCTTGCGATTTTCCTGCAGCCTTAGTTGCCCGTGGTTGTGTCATGCTGTGCTATGTAGAGCCACATGGCCCGATACTGCCTCAGCTCATATCTGAACTGCTGGGCGTTAGGGATGCGGTTTTTACTGCACTTGGTAATTTTGTTTATAATGCCTTTATCACAAAAAATAAAGGAGCTTAGTGTTTCCTTACCGTCATTCCTCGTATTATTAAGTATTGTGAGTGTATCTTTGGGAGGGATTATATTAGAATGTTTGATTTGAAAAGCTGCCATTTGAGACCTTTTTCATGGCGCCTCCCAGGCAGTCAGCCGTGTCAAGATGAAGCTGAATCGCTTGCCCAGACCATCAGCTGCCAGAAGCTCATTGAAAGGGTGATGAACGCAGCCGTCTTGACTTTCTATGAGAAGCACATGGCCTCAAAAACAGCTTCTGGTGCTCTGGGTGAAGACTGGAAAGGACCATGTGATAGGAATCTGTGGTGAGAACAACACACAATGTTTTCCCATGAAACAAGGTATCTTGACTCGTGGCAGAGTGAGCCTGCTATTATTGAGTAAGGGGCGTTTTTGTTACAGAGCAAGGAGAATTGGGAAGAGGAAGCACAAGTTTCTGGGTTGCACTGTGGATGCCAATTTGAGTGCTCTCAACCTATTAGAGAGTGAGAGAGATTCCTGGAGGAACAGGTAGCTACTGAGCCTCGCCGATTGGGGTCCAAAAGACTCACAAAATCTGAAAATTTTTCAGTCTCTCTAACAAAGATGATGCTCACTCTGGTAGTTTGAATGTATTTGGCCCCCATACTTTCATAGGTTATGGCACTATTAGGAGGTGTGGCTGTGTTGGAGTGGCTGTGACCTTGTTGGAGGAAGTGTGTCACTGTGTGGGTGGGCTTTGAGGTTTTCTATGCTCAGGATACTGCCCAGTGTCTCAGTCCATTTCCTGTTGCCTTCTGATCAAGATATAACCATCACCATGTCTGCCTGCATGCCACCATGCTTCCCGCCATGATGATAATGGACTGAAGCTCTGAAATGTGAGCCACCCCAAATAAATGTTTCCCTTATAAGAGTTGCTGTGGTTATAGTGTCTATTCACAGCAATAAAAGCCCTAAGACATCCACCAATATGCTGTCAGACGGTCTTAAACAAAGAAGGTAAGAAGCCCAGGACCAAAGCACCCAAGATTCAGGGTCTTGGTACTTCAGGTGTCCTGCAACACAAACACCAATGTATTGTTCTGAAGAAACAGCAGCTAGGAAAAAGGAGGGGGGGGCTGCAGAATATGATAAAGGGGAAACAAATAAATAACCAGACTCTGAAAAGGTAGAGAGAGGGGAAGGAGAGAGAAATTGCTGTTTGAGTTGCTGACTTAAGTTTCACTCACATATGGGTGCCTACACACACACACACACACACACACACACACTTTTAGCATGAGATTAGAACAGAATTCCCAACAATTTCTAAAATGGCCCTAAATAAGCTTCTTCCATTATTTATTCTAGGAAGCATCCTCAGCATAGCACTGACTTTTATAAAATCAGAATGAGTCAACTGAAAGATGCTGAAGATGTTTTATAACCTCCAGGATCAGATGTTGAGCCAAGATTTAATTCCTTGAGCAAAATCAAATGGAAGCTTTTTTTTAGTATGCAAGTTTGCTTTCTTTTTTTAAAAAAATGACTAATGTGTGTCGAAAGTTGTTTAAATCTCTATTACCAGTAAATGATTTGTGCACAGATATTATGCACTTGCCAGCCCTGGGTTGTGTAAATATTTCTCCAAAGGCAAATGATCACAAGCGGAAAGGTTTGAGAAGTGTTAGTTAATTCAGTGCACTTAGATTTTCTCCAACACCTCCAAGAGTCTTGGCTTATTCGCAGAGTGGGCTGTGCATCACCTGGCACCCAGCCTGCTCGCTCCCTGCACAGCCCTCTTTGGGTGCTTGTTATCCTGTGTCCCTTCTGCCTGTGAAACGCTCCCCTGCCCGTGGTGCAGCTGAGGACAGGCCCAGAGCCAAGCCAACACTCTTCCCCACCACTCTGCATCTGGAACAAGTGTAATTGTGAGGGCAGCATCCTGAAGGCTGCCAGAGACATGATTCCCCCTACTTGGCTATGATGCTCTGCTACCCAGCCATCAGCAACAGTTCCCTCTTGGTCTGTCGGGCAGGTGCCTGCCCCTCCCGTGAGTTCTCTTTATGCTCAATTAGCTGACATTGGC